ACAGCTAGACAGCTAGATAGATAGACAGCTAGACAGATAGATAGATAGATAGATAGATAGGTTGATAGATAGATAGATAGATGGATGGATGGTTAGATAGATAGATGGATAGATAGATAGATGGATAGATAGATGGATAGATAGATAGATCGGTAGGTAGGTAGGTAGGTAGGTAATCAGAGAAAGAGAGGAGCCCTCAACCAGCTGTCGGTCATCAGTGGCTTCGCTCTGCCATTTCTGATTCACAACAACAAAATTCTCCTATAGGTTTCCTATGTTTGAAACTTCCGCCACCGCCTTGTGCGGTACTACTGGTATAATACATGATCTTCCCAGTTGGCATCAACAAGGTGCACGGTGAGTTGCATTCTGCTGAGACTCCAGGCTAAGCCCCACTTTTGTTGCACCATTCATGGAGGAGCTGGACACCAATATCGCATGAGCTTCCACTTTTGCGCGCTGCTCGAGGTGATATTGCTGCCAACTTCTTGGACTTTGACAAAACAAAGCTTGACGAGTTCCAAAACCTTCGCGGCGAGCCTGCTGAAGCCGCAGAGGCAGCGCAGCGCGTGGCAGCCGCGCGGGAAGACAAGTTGCTGGAAGAGTACCGTGCCGCCATGGAAGAGAACCGCATGGTTGCGGAGGAGGCGGCGCGACCGCATGGCAACGAGGCGTCATACTTTCGCAAGGGGAGCTTGTTGCAAAGACGATTCTCGCAACGGGGCGATGTGTGAACTGCAGCGGGCGGAAGATTCAAGAATCATGCAGATTTCACCGGCCTTCCCCCCCAAAGGTGGCCCCATTGCAATAGGTCAATAATATACCAGTACGTAATAAGGTGTTGTTGGGGTTCACCTTGGGGCCTTGGGTTTGGTTGAGTCCAATGGTGCTCTGACAGGCCTTGACATGCAATCGGCAAGGGATAGCTGCAACCCACACAATGATGATGTGAAGATCTCCCCTGCAGGAAATCATCAGCCTCAGGGCCGGGTCCCCAAAAATAGAACAGTTCTGAGTTCTGAACATATTCTTCAGGATATTAAGTGTCCATTTGTTCCCCACCTGCCAGGTGAGGGTTGTTAGATTTTATCAGAGTTGTTCTTCTCCTCCTTCTCCTCCTCCTCCTTCTCCTCCTCCTGCTTCTCCTCCATCACCTCTGCCCCCACTTCCATGTTCACTTCCGCCTTGCCAACTCTTCGCCAAGTTCTTTGCCAACTTCCGCACGCAGTGGGCACTGCTGGACCTCAACTGCAAGGGTCTGAGCGCACTGGGCACCGCTGGGCCTCAACCTGGGACCTTCCGAGCTCAGTGAGCACCGCTGGACCTCAACCTAGGACCGTCCGAGCTCAGTGAGCACCGCTGGACCTCAACCTCGGACCCTCCGAGCTCAGTGAGCACCGCTGGACCTCAACCTCGGACCCTCCGAGCTCAGTGAGCACCGCTGGACCTCAACCTGGGACCCTCCGAGCTCAGTGAGCACCGCTGGACCTCAACGGCCAGATAGAATGCCAGAAGATATGCCAGATAGAACGCCAGATAGAATGCCAGAAAGAATGCCAGAAGATATGCCAGATAAAGTGCCAGAATGTTTGCCAGATAGAATGCAGAAGATATGCCAGATAGAATGCCAGAAGGTATGCCAGATAGAATGTCAGATAGAATGCCAGAAGGTATGGCAGATAAAGTGCCAGAACATATGCCAGAAGATTTGCCAGATAGAATGCCAGAAGATATGCCAGGTAGAATGCCAGAAAATATGCCAGATAGAATGCCAGAAGATATGCCAGATAAAATGCCAGAAGATATGCCAGATAGAATGCCAGAAGGTATGCCAGATAGAATGTCAGATAGAATGCCAGAAGGTATGCTAGATAAAGTGCCAGAATGTTTGTTCTGATAAAGTGCCAGAATGTTTGCCAGAACATATGCCAGAAGATATGCCAGATAGAGTGCCAGAAGATATGCCAGAACATATCGCAGAAGATATGCCAGGTAGAATGCCAGAAGATATGCCAGACAGAATGCCAGAAGATATGCCAGATAGAATGCCAGAAGATATGTCAGATAGAATGCCAGAAGATTTGCCAGTAACAAAACGTATAAATGTCATGGTGGGGATCACTTGGAGTAAAGTAATTTTCATGTATTCTAAGGAAAGTATTGCGGAATAGCTTTACATGTGCAGTGCTTTTGACTTGCACATTCGCAACTTGTAGCTGTTGCATATCCTCAAAAAGATCGGGGTAACATGGGGTACACCAAACCCGTGCGTTCTCAATGTGTTTTTTCTTCCTGGATTTGCCCCCTGGTAATTAAACATTAACATAGCTATGAAAATCATCACGTTAACATATACGCCATCTATAAGTGGCCATTTTCCACAACTATATATCTTAAATCACCGTAGGGCATCACATTTTCCGATGGAACATTTAAAGCAACGGAAGCGGATCAACATTCACCACCGGGTTGGAACATTTTTTCGGGGTAAACCCTGCAGCCCCAATCGTCGTGGTTATTGGTGGTCAATGTGCCCATTAACAAAAACCCTAACATGATTGGAGAAATATGAGGAATCGCAAATTGCCCATTGTCTTGATTGTTTCTATCTCATTGATCAATACAATTATATCATATATCCACGTATTTGGACAAAGCGTAACGACCTCACCGTGACGTCACTGGAATCATGTTTCTTCCAAAGCAGAACCATCAGCTATGTACAGCTTGGTGAATTTTCATAAAAACAAGGTTTTTATCCACAGCCCTATCAAAATCTACCATAGATAAAATCATAGTATCATTGGTACCATAGGTTTTTATCCATATCCCTATAAGTCTACCATCAAGTAAACCATGTTTCTCGTAGCAATTAGATGCTTCGAACTGGCAGAAGCTAAGGATGCAACTGCTGGGATGTCATCGAGGCGCTGCCCATCCATGCCTATTCTCGTCGCTGAGCCGAGCTGCGCGTTGCTGCCGTGGTGAATGGGCCAAGTTGTTTTAATATATCACTAAAGGCGACTGGTTGGTGGTTTGGAACATGAATTTTATGACTTTCCATAAATTGGGAATGTCATAATCCCACCTGACGGACTCATATTTTTCAGAGGGGTAGGTATACCACCAACCAGGTGAGATTAACTAGGCTAATTATCATTAAAGGTGAAATTCATTTTAGTGTATCGTTAATCTTAACTAGAGGTGGAGATATCAATATAGAACCCGTGTTGTAACTTGAACTGGGGGGCATTACCTTGTGAGAGCAGAAGGAGTGGACGCAGATTTGACGTACTTACCCGAGTTGATTAACGGATTAAACGTTTTGTTTATTCCAGCAAAATGATGGCATTTCAATTTGAGTAGATCCAAGATTAGAGGGATAGTTACTGTTTTCAAGTATTGGTTCATAGTCACAGCCATGCTTTCTTAGCCATTTTCATGACTTTAAGTGTGATGTGCACCCAAGTATGAACACGGATTGCATTGGCAAAGCGCCTACCTCTGAACCAGCCTGGAATAGAGGGTCAGAGCTGCAGCTGAGGGCCATGTTTCATGACAACTTGCAGGGTTCAATTTTATGTTGGTTCGGAAACTGATCGTAGGATCATTTTTTTTTAACACTTGACCAGTGGAACAATATTATGTTCATGTTCTAAGTGCGCTATAGTTCTATAGATTCATCATCAAACACTCCGTTCAACAGACTTCAAAGTACCTCAACAGCAAAATTGGATTCCTCCATGCCTAGCTACAAAAAATCCTCATCATCACTGTTTTCTGAGGCAACGCGCAGGAAATCAAAGAAAAACTGAAGCAGTACCATGAGGTCCCCGGACGGGGCGGTGTGGCCGAAAGCTGGGGTGGCCGAACGTGCAGTCGTGAACACACAGAGGCATTGACCGTCAACAATGGAGGTAAAACCAAGAGCACCATGGAGAGTATCCAGACATGCTCTGGTTGGTGGTTTCAAACATTTTTCCCATATTTTGGGAATACCGGTATAATCAATAATGATCCCAACTGACTAATATTTTTCAGAGGGGTTGAAACCACCAACCAGTAATAAGGTGATAGTGACCAAATTGGGCCGTACTAAGTACTAAGTGGTTTGAAACGGGAATCGTATGATAGAACGATTTGTTTTCAATGTGGAACCCCAATCGACCAACCGGTACTTTTGTGGATGACAGAGGGTTTTCGGGTTGTCTCTAGGCAGTGCCCAGATAATTGGCAAGGACCCATGTTTTTTGCTTTCCATTTTAACCATAACATGTGCTGGCATACCATGGTTTACGTAGAAACTGAGCCATTTTTGGTGTAAAATAATACACCATACGTCCAACAATTAGTCTGTTTCAAGACCAACTTCGCTAAGGTTTGGGCACATGACTGGCATCACATCAAACTTAAGTTCAAGCAATTTCATGTTGAGCAAAACAACCATTTGGATTGTTTATCCCTTAGCTGGCTGATCGATACGGCATGTCTGTTATCGATACGACATGTTTGTTTTGTAGCTCACATAATCCCAACTTGCCCAACAGATCTCCACAAGAAAACATATCCATTTTAATCAGACTAGCTATGGCCATTGTTGGAAAGCAATATATTTTGTGTTCTTGTTTGTTCTATCCCACTATGTCCTTAAGTTCCCAATAAAGTACCAACCCATTGTACAATTATATTATATCCATGAAATGTCCTTATCTCCCTGCACCCCATATATACATCCATTGAATTCTTAAGTTATAGCCCCACTGCCATATAGAATCAATAGAGATCCATGTAGTTATATCCTAAGTCTCCACTAAATCCCCAGAAAATCTCGGAAATCCCCACCTCACCTACCCCCATTTTTTCCCTTTGAGGTCTTCCGGGAAGACTTCGAGGGCCGCAACGGGCGCCGTCCCAAAAAGCTCTGGCTCACGGAGGTGACCTAAAGATGTTGACTTGGAATCTTTTTTGATCATTAGCTGATTGATAGTTATTAGATAGTTATCAGATTATCTATTATCTTTTTGGATCAGTGCATAGATCATTGTTAATAGTAGTGGTAGTGGTAGTGGTAGTGGTAGTGGTAGTGGTAGTGGTAGTAGTAGATGATCATTGTTAATAGTAGAACATTGTCACTAATATCTGATTGACTTGTTGGTTAATAGTAGTAGATCTGATTCATAGATCATTGTTAAGTGAATCATGTTGCTTCTAATAGTGGATCTGATTTAATAGTAGTAGATTTGTTTTTAATAGATTTGATTAAAATCAGCAGATCACTGCTAAGATCTGTATTGATAAGTAATAATGATCTACAGATGATCTTAACAATGATCAGTGTCAACATGTATCAGTGTTAAATAGTCATCCTTTTTTGGGGGCAAGATGGTGCCCCAGTTTGTTCGCTAAGTTGTGGTTTATAACATTTTATAACTCCACTTTCACTCGCGGCACCGCCTTGCAATCATGAACCCATGATTTCCCATTGTATTCCACCATACCCTTAAGATATTCCTATGAAATCATATCCCATAATCGTTTGACGTTAGCTATCATAAATGAATTGGCTATAACTCGCAAAAAAAAAATGTATTTTGTTGGTCAAATCTCCATTTTACCCAATTGTTTTAACCATCATTTACCATGGCTACTTCACCCAGTTCCACCTGTCAGTTCCACCCGCCTTTTGGTGTAGGTCACCATGGGTAGCAACGAAGCGCAAGAACTGGTGACGTTTGTGGAGGAGCTCATGACACTTGGCATCACTTGGCCATGCAGGAGAGACAGTCATCGGGGCTCATAGTTGATGATAGGGTTTAATGATGGTTAATAACTATCATCATTATCACTATGTGTTTGGGACTATCTGATTAATGTTGATTAGTTCTTATCATCATTGGTCATAATGAACTGTTGATATTGATAATTGATAATAGTTGATGATAGGGGTTGTTGATAGTCGTTAATGATGGCTGATAGTGGCAAGACAAATCATCATGTTGATTCATGTTGTATATATGCTGAGTTATGGATGTTTATTTTCCGGATTGGAGAATTCATGGGAATATGTAAATTTTTGAGTTCATAAGGCATTGCGGCACATCATGGCTAATGACGTAACAGTTGCTAATAGATGGGATTTCCTGATGATTTTTCATGTTGGTAAGTCATCTGGTGAGTCATGGGGGTGATATGGGGATTCGTTGCGAAGCACTGGACTTTCCCGTGTTCCCCCCAAGCATGTTAGGGTTTAGCAGGGCTTCAGGGATACAAAAAACAGCATGGGTAACAGTCCTTGAAAGCATCCATGTGGACTGAACCAATTTTGAGAGAGTTGGCATCATGTGAACAACTCAGATTAACAAACCATATATACCATATATGCGATTCAATGATAAAACGGGTAAATCTTAATAGTAACGACCAAAGGCAAAATAATTGTTTTTATTCCGTGGATAACCTGCAAACAAAAATATACGTGCTTGGCCAAAATCTAATTTGCTCACACGTCCATCCAGTTTTTGCCCATTTAAAAGGTGCATTCAAGGGGAGCTACCATACGACCAGGTCATGTGACAAAGAGATTAAGTTGATTCAGCCAAGTACGAACAGATTTCGACAGTGTCGGAAAATCGGAAAGTTTTTGCAGGAGCCCAATATAGCCCAATCAAAAATCAGGGAAGTTTTACTTAGGCATCCCCAAGACAGAGGTGAACACGTGGCGATCTGCTCCCGAGGAACCCACAGAACGGGCTGCAAAACCGAGAGATCTTTGGCTTTGTCGACCGCATCAGTTGGTCCCTTGGGTCATGTGGGGAATGACATTTCCACCATGCTGGTGATGCCCATGAGCGCATGAGGAACACTAAGGTACTAATTTGGTGAACATTATATCGGTGAATTCTATGGTTTATGGCAGATAAATTTATAGCTAATGGGTTTATAAACCAACTTAGAACTATGTCAGATATATTTGAATAGTTATCGTTGCTTTTCAATCGGCAAGCATTTCACTGGGGGGACACGACGTAAAACTTATCCACCTGCTTTCAGTTGTTTCATCGCCAGATCAAGCCACGGATCTCGCAGGTTCTCGGAGTGGAGCATGGGTGCCTTTCAGCTGTCCTCCTATACTCCGCAGCAAGATGAGGCGGGGTTTTCAGCAGTGCCAGTAGAGCTTCGTTTCCCAAGGCCCCCAAGGTATATTTGCCAGAGTATTTGATGCAGACTATAGTTACAGTCACAGTAAGTTAGTTATGTTTACCAACATTGCTATGTTTTGGGGACATCACCTTGTAGACTTAGACTCATGAGTGGGGCAAAGCTAAAATATATACAGTTTCCACTTGGGGGTTATGAAGTTGGGTCCAGTGGTGGCTTGTCGATCACATGGTTGGTTGTGTTTGTTTTACCACATCAAGCATTTAAATACACAGAACCTGTGACCAGTTTTCAATTGGAAAGATATCAAAGATTGGCTATGATACGAAAATTTAGATATCAAAAGGTTACCTATATTTGAAGTCAAACAAGAAAAGGCCGAAGAAGGTACAACTTGCGATCTCGGTGTGGTCCCGCAATCCAATTTGAAGCATGGATTGTAATGAATTGCTCCCCAAACTCGGAGAGCCGATCGCATGACTAGATCTCATCCAACTTTGCTGATGAAATCGCCACTAGCCGCCATCAGCAAATATGCAGTTGGTGGGAATGGTTTTCAACCATGTACAACCTATGTCCGTAGTGCACGCTTGCAATGGTCGATCTTTATACTTATCAATTTTACGGAGTCACTGACAGGTTGAGATCCAACTTTTAGTGACAGATTTTGTGAAATTTCATGATATCCTGGTTGGTGGTTTCAAACATTTTTTATTTTCCATAATATATGGAATAATCCTTCCCATTGACTAATATTTTTCAAGATGGTTGAAACCACCAATCAGTTGTAGTTTTCGTGATATCCACTTGTGAAATTACCAGAAAAATCACAGAATCGAGGCCTGGTCATCCAGCTTGTTCGAGCCTACCACTGGACACTTCACCCCACACGGGGCGTGCCCTGCTGGCACCTGGTACTTCTTGCATGGGAGGAGATCAGGATCTCACCAGGAAAATCATTGTTGAATGGAGTTGAATGGAGGTTGATCATCAATCATGGGCTGATATTATGGGTATATACAAAATGGGATAACAAGAATCAAGATGTAGGAAAGATTGGTACAAGCTGGTGTCCACACAATTTTTTCATGCCGGTTCACAGGCACCCGAGAAACATCCAGTGTCATCACCGGACGTCACGGGACGTCACCGTAGTCTACGGCGTTAGCTCCCCATATCTCCCCGTATGTTGGCCATATATCCAGGTATATCCAGGTCAATCCCTAGCATACCCAAGAAGTATCTCATAGTATCGCCCCATGAAAAATGACCACGACTGTATCCCCATTAAATCATATTATATCCACCAAATTGATGGTTAGCTGTCACAAAAAATACTTGTTCCATAAATAGATATCAATAGCCTTTGAAATCCTATGAACTATAGATATCTCCAGATCTATTCTTGGTTAAATCGAAGTTTCAAAACCGTTTTGGACACGGCAGACGGTGTTCATGCTACGGCCCAAGGCGCTTCATCCACCATTGTGGAGGTGCCTGGCTGTTTAATTGGGAAGGTACCATACATGACTATTGCAAAAATACACCCCTAATTCATAAACCATGATTTATGAAAATCTGGGCTTGACATTAGTTTCGAATCATCCATGGTATTCCAATTAGATCGTGCCAGTAATTGCTGAATCATGGTATTATACTTACTGAATCATGGTTGATGAATTTCATGCTATGTTTTCCTTTTTTTCTGAAATATTTAGTGTCCATAATAGTATAATTTCGGAATATGACGCCAATAGATGTCTATATATATACATAAATACATACACATATGCATACGTATATAAAATGATTCAATATTATATATACTTAGTGAGGTGGTATTTACTTATACTTGTTGCCTACTTCGTAGGTCTTAGCCAGGGTATTTGTTCTGTAAACACATGGTTAAGAACTAAATTAGGGTGTTCGATGTTCTTTTTCATTAATATTACCATGAAATTCAGAAAATGCGAGTGATATCCCATAAAATATCCTTATGAACCCCCTATTAAATCCCATAAAATCCCATTGAACCCAATGAAATCCCTGTTAAGATCCATCAAAAAATCTTGTTTTTGACCATGCAAAGCCCAAGTCACCAGCCGCTTAAACCACAACTCAGCCCCGCCCAGGTGGCACGCCGCAACAGCCGGTGGCTGAGTCGCTTGGCGATGTTTTTTGTTTTGGTTTAGGCCCATTGAAGAATTTGAACCAGAAAATCACCAAAAAATTGGGAGACTAATATGGTTTGTCTACTGGTTTCCACATATATTCTAGATGTATACCTATAGGACCTATACATTTGCATATGTATAGTGTACATATGCACACACACACACATGTATATAATATATATATATATATATACATATGTGTGTGTATACATACAGGCTCACAAAACTAGAAGCATCCTTGTTGCGGAAACTCCACTAACATTCATAAGAAACCAGTGTCTACCAAGGTGGCAGGAACATGTGAAATCCCCATGTGTCAGTTGCATAGTTTTCCCACTTATTTTTTTGGGCAGGGAAACCTTGATATTGATGTAGATATTATGTGTATATATATATAGTCATCCTAGAGTAGATACGGTTTGTAATTGTCGATCTTATTGTTTTTGAATGTTGCTGCGTGTTCTTTTTTGTCCAGATTCCATCGACTCCACATGATATGTCAAAATTCATGTCAAAATCTATGATACAAATCCCCTAAGATAAGTTAACATAAGTTCAAGATCACCTCCCTATGTCATTTTACATGTATGTAAAATTCAAGTTATCTGGGAGGCATCACTATACAAAACGAAGTGAATGAACCAAGTTTGCCACCCAGGCCGAAACTGTCGGCGCAGCCCGCGCAGCCGCAGGCGCTTTTACAGCGGTGGCCACTGTGGATGGCTGGTTCATGACGATTTTTTTTTTTTACTTGGTGACCTTGGTGAAAAATCGGATAACCACAATTAGGTGACGTATTGAGCAGGAGCAATATATAGGATCAATTGCCATGCAGATGCAGATTGTTTTTTTATTGGCGGATGGATATGGATGGATTCTCCACATTGTTTCTTAAACCTAAAAAATGTCATTACCATGCAAGAAGGGGTTTCGTAGATAGGTTTCTAGTGGTTTATAGCTGGGCTAAACAGGGTGTATCATGAGTATGTCTACAATTAGTTGGATAAGCCTATAGAACTTGCAATTTGGTGTGTTTTCCTGTGGGATTCAGATAATGCAACTGAGAGGCATCCCTCAAAATTCAGACCCTGAGAATCGCCCATTGACGAACTCCATGTTCTGTAGATACCTCTGCCATAAACCTGAGTTATATATACGAGTTTGAAACCAACTTCCAGTTAAAGCCCTTTTACCAGTTTTACATAGTTATCAAGGGGGTTATCATAAACCACAAGTGGAGTAACTTACTGAGCACATGTCCACCATACGCCGAGCTTCTGTCATCCACCGCAGCCGAGAAAGAACTCTCGACGGTTTCACGGGGGGCGGGTTGACCAGCCATTCACCCTGCGGCCAAAGAGTTTCCTGGCAGCAGGGAGTGACACAGTTCAGGGTGTTTAGAAGTTTGGTTATTTCCTCCTTGGTTGTCGCAGTCTTTGATGATCATTTCATACAAGGTGGTGTTTTGTAGATACCTGAGTTGGATTTATAACTTAGACTTAGGCAATTAGGGTTTACAATGTGCAGTGGATATATCTATTCTCTAGGGTAAATTGTTGATGGGGTTTATAAACCAACTTGACGATCCATCCATTCAAGAGATGCATGCATGTATATATAGTAATAATAATAGTAATTATTATTATTAAAATAACAATAATAATAAGCATATGTCCATGAGTCCAAATTGATAGTATATGTAGATGATGTAGATGTAATTGTGTTGATTTACACATATATGTATACCTGTGCCATGTGCTGTTGTTTTTTCACTTGTTTTGTTCTTGACAGTTGTTCTTTATGTAGATATATTTGTGCGTGTTTCCCTCCGCATATAAATGTATTATTATTTATATGTATATATATATATGTTTCTATCTATTTATTTCTTCATTGCTTTTTATTACTTAGATCTATACACTTGCAGAAGATAGACAGGTGCAACAGGAACAGCCTTATCAGCATCAGCATGCTGACAGGCTGACCAGCTGACCAGCTGACCAGCTGACCGGCTGATGCTTGGCCATTTGCACGAAAGCTGGGGACAAGGACCAGCTCCGGCTGATCCCGGGGGATGATTTTAGAGGACTTCTCCAAGCGCGGGAAAATCATTGGGAAAATCTAGGGAAATTGGATGATTCAAGTGGATTTTTTAGTTAAGCGGGTAGAACAATGTAGAACATCTAGGGAAATTTGGTGATTTACCTAGATTTTCCTAGAGTCAAGTGGATCTTGTTCAAGTGGTGGATTGGGTGAACCGTTCCAATATATCCAATATGTGGGTACATGTGGTATATAAAAGCGGGAAAACGAGCAACAGCAACAGTTTATTTGCGATTGAACCAGTAAAAGAGTGGGACGAGTAAACTGGCACAATGGCAATTTTAGGGACATTATCAAAATACATGGGAGCACGACCAACCAAACTGGTGATAAATTGGAGATATTGGAGGGTCAACCATTAAAGTGGGGCGATAGTTTTCCTTCACAGTAGGGATTCAACCTACAGATACTTTTGTGGTCTAACCTTTTCAAAAATATAGTGAAATTATCAAGCAAAACAGTGACTTTGCCAACAACAAAAACATGGATATCGCTCATATATGCTGATATGGTATAAAGAGGAACACAACTTGACAGGTACAACTCAAACTTATTTGGTTGGTGGTCTGGAACATTTTTAATTTTTCCATTCAGTTGGGAATTTCATCATCCCAACTGACGAACTCATATTTTTCAGGGGGCTAGGTATACCACCAACCAGTTATATATGCTACAAAGAGTTGACGCATCCAAATTGTCCCTTGTGATCTCAATGATTTGGCTGAATTCTGCCAGTTCGATCCACTAATTTCTCGAAATCCATCTCCAATAGATAAATCATGTCAAATCCCCCAAAACGCCTATGTCTAAATATGTCTAATGGATGTTATTTCCATTCCTACTATTGATGTCTACGGGATTTTTGGGTGGTGAAGTCCCCCATTTCTCCCACAGTGGTCACCCCGGCGTTTCTTACGACGCCAGGCATGTCGTCCACCCCCGGCGGCTTCTCCACCACGGACTCGGAAGGCGCTGCCGAGCCGCGGCAGATGCCGCGCATGGAGAAGTGGAGCACCTTGGCGAAGTTATGGCCATGGCTATTAGTTATAACTGGCTTATAAGTACGGTGGGATGATTTATATATATATATAGCTGGTTATATCATGTTATATCTGGCATTTGTAACTGTAGGATTCTATATGATATATTAGTCATAAATGACTATTGAACGATGGAAGTATACATTATTTTTTTGTACTTATAACAGATACTTCGGGCCATAACTGTAGTGCACATTAGGAACGTTGAAGAGAAATTGTTAAGAATATTGCTATATTGGTACCTACCAGACAGATAATCATAGACATGTATGGTGGTTTAAACCACCTCTGAATCATCCATCTATGGGATTTTCCGATAAAACCATCCAGCTATGTTCTATCAAGTCTGGATGTTTTTTTGTTGTTTCCCTCTAATTACTGAATTACCAATATGTAAATGCGAATGAATCATATACCAATTATCTATTATATAGTCTATTAAAATTGAATTTACGCAGATAAGTGGAACCCCACCGCAAAAAATCTGAGGGGTTTCCATAGATGGGGATACTCGGGATATCCGACTAGCTGGATGGTTTCTGGAGCGACAAAACGGTGGCAAAATTGAGGAACACATGATTTTTGATTAATGTTTGATGGATTTTATGCAAAAAGATATATAATTAGATGGTAAACCAAAATGAAAACAATGAATAATGATGGAACTCATTTATTTTTGAAGGATTGTTGACTGTTCTCGGCCTTAATTTTCAATTAGCCGGAAGGAAACTCAGGAGCCATGTGTATCCAGATTCCAAATGGGGGGTCAGGCTACTAAGAGTTTCCGAATCACATGATAGTTTAATGCAACCATTATCAACCTTTGAATCAACCATCATGAGCTGCTATCATCCATAAACAATATTAACTGTTATGAACCAACGATGTCCCCATATTGATTGATACAACCCAATTATAAGCAACACAGATCTACACATTGAGATTCGTCATGATGAATGATGGTTCAGATGGGAATGGCATCAATAAAGCCATCCATATTTCATAGTAACCATGTCAGAGTACAGTTACTGCGGTAAACTTAGTGCAAGCTGGTGCCCAGCAGTTGTAAGTTGGTTTATACACCTCAGAAACTATATATTAATATATATGCCATAAAGGGGCATCACCTTGTAGTAAGCCGGGAAGGTTGTTGCAAACTATTTGTGGTACTGGTACTTGTAATATTGGGGTTTTGCTTGTAGTTGGGGTTACATTATATAACGAGTGTGGGGACATTGGTTGTCAAAATTGGTTGATATTGTTTATGGTAGCGTGGAGGGTTACCGGACCCATTTTTGACTCATGTTTGTCGTGGGATTCTGAGTGCGGCAACAGCATTTGCATCATAGCCCATGGATGTATATGCTGGCGGACCGTTTGCAGTCTCACAAATGTGCGAATGTCTCATAGATGAGTGGGGTGGGGTGGGGTGGGGAGGGCGCAATAACGTTCAAGTATACATTAAACAGATACGAAGGCGTTCAGAAAGGCATTGACATAAATACATGGAACATGTTATCATGTTATGTCATGGAATTTGTGTTAGCATAGATGTAACATGTTACGTCCTTGGTGTTGGGTTGAGATAGGGTGGGGTGGGGTAGGGTGGGCGTTCAAGTATACATGCACCAGGTACGAATGCTTTGAGAAATTGGTGTTGACATAGAAAGAAGGTACATGTTACGTCATGGGATTTGTGTTGATATAAAAATATTTGACATGTTACGTCATGGGGTTTGTGTTGACAAAAAGATGTGACATGTTACGTCATGGGGTTTGTGTTGACATTGAAAGATGTGACATACTACGTTGTGGAAATTGTGTTGACATAGAAAGATGCGACATGTTACGTCATGGGATTTGTGTTGATATAATTACTTTACTTCGTGTGATCCCCACCATGACATTTATACATTTTCTTACTGGCAAATCTTCTGGCATTCTATCTGACATATCTTCTGACATTCTATTTGACATTCTATCTGGCATATCTTCTGGCATATGATCTGGCATATCTTCTGGCATATCTTCTGGCATTCTATCTGGCAAATCTTCTGGCATTCTATCTGGCATATCTTCTGGCACTCTATCTGACATATCTTCTGGCATTCTATCTGGCATATCTTCTGGCATATATTCTGACATATCTTCTGGCATTCTATCTGACATATCTTCTGGCATATATTCTGACATATCTTCTGGCATATCTTCTGGCATATCTTCTGGCATATCTTCTGACATATCTATCTGGCATATCTTCTGGCATATTTTCTGGCATTCTATCTGGCAAATCTTCTGGCATTCTATCTGGCATATCTTCTGGCATATTATCTGGCATTCTATCTGGCATATCTTCTGGCATATCTTCTGGCATATCTTCTGACATTCTTTCTGACATTCTTTCTAACTTTCTTCTGCACATTCTTTGTCCCATATCTTCCTACATGAGGTCCGGCAGGGAACACTTGGCGTGGATACTCGCGGTTGAGGTCCGGCAGGGAACACTGGGCGTGGATGGTCGTGGTTGAGGTCCGGCAGGGAACACTGGGCGTGGATGGTCGTGGTTGAGGTCCGGCAGGGAACATTGGGCGTGGATGGTCGTGGTTGAGGTCCGGCAGGGAACACTGGGCGTGGATGGTCGTGGTTGAGGTCCGGCAGAGAACACTGTGGATCGCGGGTCGCAGTTGAGCAAGGACGACGAGGACGACGAGGACGACGAGGAGGACGAGGAGGAGGAGGAGAGGAGGAGGAGGAGCAGGAGGAGGAGCAGGAGGAGGAGGAGGCAACTGACATAAAATCTAACAACCCTCACCTGGCAGGTGGGGAAAAATATTTGACATGTTACGTCATGGGGTTTGTGTTGACAAAAAGATGTGACATGTTACGTCATGGGGTTGGTGTTGACATTGAAAGATGTGACATACTACGTTGTGGAAATTGTGTTGACATAGAAAGATGCGACATGTTACGTCATGGGGATTGTATTGACATAAAAATGATGTGACATACTACGTTGTGGAAATTGTGTCGGCATAGAAAGACGTTACATGTTACGGCAGCATCATAAATCAATGGATTATTTAAGAGGCGTTCGGCGTCATTTTGCATGGCCCTGCCAGCATGAAATGCACGACATCACCCTTGGATTAAGGTCCAAAAATCCCCCCGGACGGTTGCGATAGTGGTTAATATGTAATGGTTAAGATGGTTGATAAAGATTGCTGATTGATAATAGGGATTTGAGGATAGTCTATCAGTATGAGGATATTAAGCAATGAGGACAGGGATATAACCAGCAATGTAGGTATAGTTAGGGTGGGATGAGGACCACTTAAAGTTTGGGATAGTTTGGGTTTAGGCAGAGCTCTGTTTAGGCATTGGCTTTCAATGGAAACTGCTGTTGAATGCTTGCTTGAGGTTTTTTCCCATTTTGGGGATCAACTTTTAGGTTTTTGTGGGATTTGGGTTAGGTTTTTGTGTGATTTATTTGGGATTGGTTTAGGATTTCATTGGGGCTGGCCCATGTTTGGGTTTGTTTTAGATTTTTGTGGGAATTTAGTTAGGTTTTTGGGATTTATTTAGGTTCTGGTGGTGTTATGTTAGGTGTGTGTTGAATTTTGTTAGGATGAGACTCAGAGGAAAAAGATGGCAGGATTCACATTGCTTCTGTCGGAAATCATGGGGATACCTACTGCTTAACCCGGCCTATGATAGTTGGGCAAATTGATCTGGATGTTGCAATAGCCAAATTGGAATACAGTTGCACATGGAATTCAACTAATATATATATATATATATGGTCCCGGCCGGCGGCCGGCAACCCCCCCCCAATGGTATCCCCCCCCATGGTTTCCACCCCCTGCATACATACATACAGGCCTACCTACCTACCTACCTACCTTCCTTGCTACCTACCTACGTATGTACGTACGTACGTACATACATACATACATACATACATACATACAGCATACATACATAAATACATACACACATACATGCATGCATACATACATACGTACGTACGTACGTACATACATACGTACATACAGGCATACATACATACATAGATACATAAATACACACACACATAGATACATGCCTACCTACCAACCTACGTAGGTACGTACATACTACACCCAACCCACCCCACAGGGGGGGGGGGCGGGGAAGCATACATACATACATGCATGCATACATACATGACATGACATGACATGACATACATGTCTATACCTACCAACCTACATAGGTACATACATACTGCACCCAACCCACCCCACAGGGGGGGCGGGGAAGCAGAGATACCTTGCATGATAGTTGGATTCCAGGGAGATAATACACCCAACCCTAGGAACCATCACCATCGCGGGGGGGGGGGGGGGGGGGGGTTGCAGGCCTGTACCATATATATATATATATAGTCTATTATATAGTATATATATATAAAATACATTTGTTGATGATATCTGGGATTAGTGATTTAGAACACACGAATGATTTTGGCAATGGGCAAGGGACGAACCAATCATGTTATGGTTTTTTAGCACATGACTAGTACCATGTGGCTATTTAGCATAGCCATGGAAGCCATGGCCCATAGAAATAGATGGTTTACCTATAAAAAATGATGATTTTCCATGGCGAACTGTTAAATAACCAGAGGGTAGCGCGCCTTGTAGCGCCACGTGGGGAGAATTGGATGATTGAGAATAATGTGGCAAGCCCTTACAATGACTGGTGGCTATTTATAAAACACCTCATTTGTAGGCGTATTCTCAATTTCATGAACCTCAAGTGGGGATGGTATATGTTTGGTACTACCTCATGATGTGGTTTAGCAACTTTTTTTTGAACCCAGTCCAACTGGGAATCCTCCATGTATGCCCGGAGTACATGGGAATGTTTCCTAAATGAAAGATGCGTCTGGAAGTCGGGGGGTGAATCAACAAAAAATAGCGTTTCCGCATGAAAAGGATGTAACCAACTGATGACAGTTGCATATTTATGTTTGAACGGGTAGAATGGGAAAGCGAGTGTTTGGTCTGCCCCCTGTGGGGATCCACATGGGGATCACCAGCAATGTGGACTTCACTGGCAATCGTCCAATGTGGAAAATTTGGTGTAATTTACCCTCTGGTAAAAAGCCACATAGCTGTTAAACATCACCATTTTTAGTGGGTAAACATGGGTAAACCAACTATTTCTATGGCCATTTTCAATAGCTATTTTGACATAACCAGAGGGTACCAATATTGGATATCGCTGGAAACGGAAGATAACATGGCTAGTGTAAAAAATATGGCACTTCCGGGCAAAAAACGCAGGAGATGGGCTGAGAAACTCCGCAGGTCACGAATGCAAACCTTGAAATTCGGAAAGGATATTATTAATTATAGTTGATTGATGTTGATTGGTTCTATGAGATCTATGATTATTGTTTCTATTGGCCCATGATTATTAGCATTTTCAGTTCGATGTTCAGAATATCTATGCTCAGCTACAAAAAACAGTTTGGTTCAAAAAAGAATATCTGCGCTTATCTACAAAAATGTCACATGGCACTGCCATGTGCGTTCTGGTCGCTGAGGTGATTTGACCGAAGATGTGGATTATAATGAACAGTTGCAAGAGGTGCCGGGATGGGTGTTTCTTTCTTGGAAATCCCAAACGGTTTCTAGCTTTTGAATGGAAAAAAGTTTGTGTCCATAGGTTTGTATCCGCATGTTCCATTTCTATCCATTTATAGTGGATTTCTCCATGTTTTTTCCCATCAAAAACCCATTTCGGAACATGTGGAGAAATCCACTATTTCCATGGATAGAAATGGAAGTTTTTCGATCTGGGAAGATCATTGAACTGGGAATTGTTCCTGCGTTTGCCACGTAGGAGCTGACACCGGAGCGTTTGCTGAGAAATAACACGTTTTGCCCATTGCAACGTTTGGAAAACCAATGGAAAACCAATGGAAATTGCCTTTTGACAGGTAATATGCATTGGAAAATCAATGGCGTGACTGAAGGTGTGTGTAAAGGCAGTGTGTAGTAGCCTTCTCTTCTTAAAAAAAGGGGATCTCCACCCCTAGATGGTTGTCGCCAGTAACCCCAGTATAGGATTTATGGTGGATATATTTACAGATGGACCGGTTTTTTCAACCTTCTAATTGGAGGGTGCCCTTCCGGCACAATCATCTCGCCGGAGGGTTTTTTCCTGGGTTTGTTGAGTTTCCCAATGGGATATCCACTTGATAATGGGGGGAATATCTTTTTAAAGGGATTTTCCTCAAGCAAATCCACTTGATCGAAGTGATTTCTGGCAGCACCAGACATGTCCCTTTTCATCCCCAACCTTGGATGGGTAGTTTAATCCTGAAAAACTTCTTGCTATAAATGGGAATATTTGTATCTAAGATTGGCAATGTTTTGCGTGTTGACCTTTGAACTTGGAACAAGGCTTCCATAATCTGGGTCCTGGCTACTTGTTGGTGGGGGCCTTGCACCAGGATGTTTTTCTCGGCAAATTGGAAATCAAGAGCCTGGTCTGCACGTGAGAGGAATCTGGGTACCGGCGGAGAATCAACGGCTGGAAAAATCTCAGGAAATGGAGGTTTTGTTCGCAAAAATCATCGAACTATATAATGGGTGAAGGACTGATTTTCATGGCAGTCTTCTCCATGAGCAGACATACATTTGGCATAGTATCTGCATAAGTCATTGAAATTTGAAAGATGTATCTACAGAGAATCTGGCAGATCACACAAAGCTGGTGCCTCATACTTAGTAGAGTTGTATTGTAACTGTCTTAGCTGTGGTTTATGGTATTTATATATATATATATATGTATTAACATGGATTATTATATATTAACATATAGCGACGGACAAACACTTAGAACATCATTTGGAAAAAAATGAAAATCGTCACAGCGGGGATGTTCTAAGTATGGGTTTCAAAACAAGTAGTTATTAGAACATACCGTACCCAAAACCTATACTTAGAACATTTCTAAGCTATACTTAGAACATCCCAGTGGGGAACCAATGGGAACCATACATATATGTATGTTCGAAGTATTTGTCCGTCGCTAATTATATATATATACACTATATAATACTATATATAGATATATTTATTTAAGGGCTGCCGCATCTCCAAAACATTCAAAATTGTACATAATTCATTCTAGCTCATTTTAGTATTGAAACCTATGCTTTTTGACTACCCCCTGTAGGAAACCCACAAATTACTAGAGACCTTCCCATTGCAGCGAAGACTGCTTGGGATATTGTTCCCGAAGAAAAGGTATAGAATGCTGCAGCAGTGAAGGGAGAAAGTGTTCTAAGTATGGTGTTCACCAAGGTATTTGTGTGTATACATGCAGATTTACCAAAGTAACAGGACATGTTCTAAGTATATGTGTGTTTTAGTGTTCTAAGTATGCAAAAATCAATGGAGATGTTCTAAGTATCTGTTTTTCTGATGTTCTAAGTGCGTACTTAGAAACATTTCTGATGTTCTAAGTATGGTAATTTTGATGTTCTAAGAGGAGGTTTCGAAATTTTGGAAAAATGATGTTCTAAGTATAAGTCCGTCGCAATATATTATCATATATTAACATATATTAACATATATTGGCATCTGATTAGCATTTATTGACATAGAAGAATATAGGTTAACATAGATTAACATATATTGACATAGATTAACATATATCAACATATATTGACATGGATCACCGTATGTTGGCATAGATTAACATAGACTAACATATATTAATGATACATGACATAGATTAGCACATATCAACATATATCAACATAGATTAACATCTATCAACGTAGATTAACAACTATCAACACATACTAACATAGATTAACACATTTTAACATAGATTAACATATATTAACATATATTAACATATATCAACATATATTAACAAAGGTTAACATGTGTTAACATAGATTAACATATATCAACATATATTGACATAGATTAGCATGTATTAACATAGATTAACATGTATTAACATAGACGAACATATATTAACATATATTAACATATATCAACATATATTAACAAAGGTTAACATGTGTTAACATAGATTAACATATATCAACATATATTAACATATATTAACATGTATTAACATAGATTAACATATATTAACATATATTAACAAAGTGAAAACCCGAGTGATCTCTTTGAAACGTGGCGAACCCTCCGAGGAACACTTTTTATAATATCCCCGTGGAAAGCTCGATGACACCAGAGGTGCGAGCAGTGCGATGGCGAGATTTTTTTTGCTTGTGAAGAATGACAAAAAGCTATGGACATGACATGTCATGTCTAGTTTTTGTTGGGAAAATGAATCTACTTGGATGGTCGATTTTCACGAATTTTCCATGTTGGTTTACTGGAAGGTGAGCATCAAAGAAGGATCTAACCTCTAAAGGTTGACTATAATTGATACATGGTGGTTGGAAGATAATGATATGATTGTTTTGACCAAACTATTTACATAGGCAAGCACATACCCTCTGGTAATGAAACATGGGAATGGTCAATCCACCGGTTAGAGATGAATTTCCCAGCTATAAACCTTTATTGATAGAGGATTTTCCCATATTTTTCATACGGTGGATGGAAGAAATCCTGCACCACCTTGGATGGTTGAAACCCTATACATAGTGGGATAAACCACCTATCAACTGGTGCAGGATTTCTTCCATCCACAATATGTGCCAAATAAAACATTCCATTGATAGGTGATTTTCCGTCCCACCACCCTCGACTAAGACCCTATGGGACGCTGCCCATTCTTTGGCGATTTGATTTGCAAGGCAGTTAAAAAAGTGCTTACAACCAACATTGCAAGTATAAGTAAAAGTGATTCTAAGTGTGCATGAAAAATGTGCCCGGCCCTTTTCTGTATATCTATATATTTGTATAGATGTTTGTGTGCAGCATTGTATTGCACAGTCAGCAGATGTGCTGGCTTGCCCCTCATTGGGGGAACATGACACCTGTGGGTTTCTGGAGTTATGGCTAAGAGGACGATTAGTTCACAATATCTTTTCAAAGAGATTTCTGAGCAGCACGATGTTTCACCAATGAACATGGTGGTAAACGCCAGTATAACTGGCGTTTTGACCAGTAGATTGGATGTGATTGGACACAGAAAATGATCAAGGATGAAATGTATTGCACTAGAAGCTCCCTCTGAATTGGATCTTGATGATCTTGGATCAATAGGGAAGTGGAAACTCCACCAGATCAGATCGGCGCCGCGGAGGAAAAGTTGGAGAAGGAATGGACTTCGGCTCCTCCAAATTTGTTGCCGCTGGACTCGGCGCGAAAGTTTAGTGAAGTGGGAGTTGAATGGAGCTAATAGCAATAGCATCCAATGGAACTACTGGTTAAGTATTGCGGAATTATATGGAATTATGTGTATTTGTGTGTTTGGGTTCCAGTAATGGAAATGTATATATAATGGAGGGGATTGGATTTACTCAAGTACGTGGGTACAACTGGCAGCTATGCATATTTCGCTCGACCATGGCAAAGCAACGGGTGACCTCTCATGGGAACATGTTTTGGGGGGTGAACCTGATGATGTGGTCATGAATGATGGCTTTGCTGGGAGGATACTGGGAGGATAAAGCCGTTTTCACTCAGAAAATCACCATTAAATCACCATTTTTGTTGTTAAAATTCCGCCATTCTTTGGCGGGTCGCAACACCTGTGCGGAGCGGGCGAGTTAGTTCGTTGCAAGTTTTCGACCAAGTGGGGGCCCATTTGGGGAAATCGGTAAGTTGGTACAAATAACTCCAAGAACTATGGCTTATGATACGTATATATTATATACTGATATATACTGGTTGGTGGTTTGGAACATGGCTTGTATTTTTCCATATTAGGAATAACTGACTTTCATATTTTTCAGAGGGGTTGAAACCACCAACCAGTATATACTTGTACATACTCATGCCAATAGTAGTCATTGGCATGGGGGTTATAACCGCAACCAGCTTATAATTGGCCGGGGGGGGCACATTGTACTCAAACAGACCATTTCGCAGGATGAAAAATGGACCCAGGAAGGGAAATCGTTGAAGAACCGGCAAAAACGTGTGGAAGATATCATACATATTAAATATCTATATGCAATATTCTATATATATATATATATTTTTTTATACGCACATAGCAACCTCCAAACAGATAGAAATATATAATGCTTTTGTTTTTTTTAATCTTGGTAGGGGTCCCTATGAAAGTAAATTGTTTATGTGTATACATTTATATATATATACATATGCCATATGTGCATATACATATATATATATACATACATATATATAATTATATATATATATATGATATGTTAAAAAAAGCTAGATCGAGTTGACATGTCAAGATGTATAAATTCATTGTCATACGTGATGTGTGATGGGAAAATAAAACATTCCTGTTTTTTGGTGTTTTTTCCTGACCATGTTCCCTTCAACCAATCCACTTGCCACGTATCGATAGTGTCTCCGCCCATGCAGCACGACTCGTTGTGTCTGAGGCAGAGATCATGGCGCACCAAATTTCCAGAAATGGAGGCCAGATCGCCCTGCAGCATGATGGAATGATACCATAAATGCTCCATTTATGGTTGATAAATCATGGAAAATCCGTTGGAATTCCCAGTGATTCTATTGTCCCATGTTTGATAAATTATATATATATATTATATGTACATGGATTTGGGTGATTCTTGTGGTAAATGATGAGAATTCCATACCGGAGCATTTGGGCTTATGTTGCATTCGATTGGTTTGTGTTGTTTCAAACGCCCTGTTCGTCGTAAAACGCGTGTTTTTGCTTCTCTCTGGAAAATTATGGATTACGCTCAAATTGTATTTTCGATAGGTTTCCTAATCGCATCATATCCCATCACCCGTTCATATTAAACATCCCAATTGTATCCCCAAAAAAATGTGGAAATTCCCTACTTTGCTTTAGCCGGGAACTTGTGAACTTATAAGCGACTTAAAACATAACTTATATAGGGATAAGTTAGGTTATAAGTTGATAAGTTACCCATAAGTTCATTAAAAAAAATCGAAAGTTATAAAAAGTTATATAGTTGTAAGTTAGTTAGGGTGTAGTATAAGATGGGGTCATTTGAACTTATTTGGAAGTTATGGAACTTATGTTTTTTGAGAATTTTCGAGGGTTTGAAACGACGAAGCTGTTTTTCGATGAAAAAATGGATGTTTCGCAACATTTGGCTCATGATATGAACGTTATCCGAACAAGAACGGTGGAGAAGCATGGAGAAGCAAATCGAAGCTTCACAGCGTTTCTTGCGGGGGCTGCGCAGCCTGGCAAGTTTTGAGGAAGTGCGCTCCAGGCAGTATAGACACTTGCGGGGTGTCATTGAGAAGGCGCCGTTGGTTTCGACAGCTTGCGTGGCTGATCTTGTGTCATCTTTGGACGCTTCAGTTTGGGAGCATGCGCAGATTGAAGAGCTGAAAGCTTTGCTGGCTGATAAGTTAGGTGAAGTGGGCAAAGAACGGAGGGCCATGCAAGATTACGTATGTCTGCCCTTATACTTGGATCAGTCTGTGTGGAACATGTTGCAGACTACGTCGGAGCAAGGCGAGCGCTTCGAGCGCTTGTGTCGGCATGCCATTGCCTTGGGGATGCGATGTCCCTCGGAATATACCATCGCAGCTTTGGTTTGGTTGGCAGCTTGTGCCTTTCGATTGCAAGACTTGACGGATGTCGAGAAGCAAAAAATGCTGCGAGATTGGAAGCCAAAACTGAAGAGGTGGCTGCAGGGTTTACAGGAGCCTGCAGCATATCTGCAAGTGCTGCCTGCGGTGGTAGAAAATTGCCCAGCTGCGTTGCTGGCGAAGGCGTACCCGGCAGGGTTTGTGCCCTATACTCCGCCTGGTTGGTCTTATGAGCACTATGAACAAATGGTGCGCAGGTATCCGTTGCGGCACAGAAAGAATGCAGATACTGTGCCTACTGCAACGTCTGAGGGACGTGGCTTCTTCGAGATGGGCAGATTATTGGCAGGATTTGCTGAGGCAAATGCGTTTGGCCGTCAAGGCTCTGTGGCCAGTGTCTCTTCTCATGCAAGCATCGCAGACGATGCACTGCCACGGGTGGAAGTGCAACCCAGCGCAATTGCCGCTGCGCCGCAGCCAAAAGTGGCGCCGCCATTGTTGGCGCTGGAGGATGCACCAGTTGCATCAGTGTCACACACGGTGGCTCCGGCCAGCGCGGCACAGGAGCTTGAAAAGCTCCGTGCGGAATTGCCAGGCCGTGAGGCGCCGGAAGCTTCTACAGCTGCCATGAAGCGACCGGCGGCGAGGAGGCAGGCGTCGAAGGCAAAGCCGAAGAAGAAAGCAACGGCTTGTCAGAGTGGATCTGCGGGATCCAAGCCGGGATCTGCGCGATCCCAGAAGAAAGCGGACGAGATGACGGGATCTGCTGGATCCAAGCCGGGATCTGCGCGATCCCAGAAGAAGGCGAAGAAGATGAAGGGATCTGCGGGATCCAAACCGGAAGCAGCCTCGACGAAGGCAGTCAAAACAAAGGCATTGAAGCGCCCGGCAGCTGCGACCGGCATGTCGGAAGGCAGCATGTCCAAAAGTGAGATTCGCGAGCGTCTGTTGGCAAAGGTGCCTCAGAAGCTTAAGAAAGCTTACAAGGACGGCTGCCACACGTGCCGCTGGCGGCCGGGTTGCTGCAATTCGTGCTGGATTAAGAGAGGCTTTTCCATGTAGGATTTCACCTGCTATTGTCTTGACACAAGACGTTACACGGGGTATAGCAATATTCGCATCTGGGGCGACAAAAAGAGACGGTGCCCTGGTCAGTGGCTGTCTGGGTGTGATCGTTGTGCTTCCAAGAAGACATTCCCCACTTAGTCGGTTCGGGCTGCGAGTTGCATCGTGCATATGCATGTTGGTCGGTTTATACGTGAGCCCTTCGTTGCAGTTTCTTTTGGTTCAAGGGATGGGTAGGAGCTGGGCATGTGTGTAGTTGGACGGGTTTGGATTCCGCACGGGAATCAGGTGTGGATTTGTTTTCACATGTGTTTGTGACGTATATAAGACTATACCGTGCTACCTTCATGCATGTATATAGTCATCGGATATAGATAACCCTGGTCAGGTACGGACAGCGATGCCGGGGAGGCCGGACGATGACTCGGATGAGGAGTCAATCACGGAGGAAGAGGGACCGCCGTCCCCGCGGTATCCGGCTGCGATGCCGAAGGTTCCTCCGGCACCGCCGGCTGCGAGCCGGGCACGTGGGGCATCAGTCGCCCCGGTAGCGGTGCGAGGCAGGAGGAAAGGGGACGCGGAATCCTCGGATTCCGTTTCGGAAGCGCCTGCGCGGCGGCATGTTCCGGACCGTTTTGACTCCGACGTTTCGTCGTCGCCTCCGAAGCCAGGACCGTCGCGGCCAGCGTCTCCAGAGCGCAAGGCCTTTGGTGGCTGGTGGCGTCCCATGGGTCGCCATAAGAGCTGGGGAACCCAAGATTGCCCCATCTGTTGGAACGAGGTTGGCAATTCCAACAGTGCGTTGGATCAACATCAGCGCACCAGTCTCACCTGCTTGCAATGGCAGCGGTACAATCGTGGAGGGCTCTCCTGGAATGAGGCATTGCAGTCAGCCGTGCGCTGCAAGGCACGGCGCGAAGCACGCGCCATCGCAGCAAGTGCGAAGGTAGACGTTGCGGTGGAACATGGCAAAGGTCATCCTCGCGAGCTAGGTGAGGACCGGACGCATGAGACGGGCGAGGGGCACAAACGCCGGAAGAGGAAGTCCAAGAAGAAGAAGCGACCGGTGACTCCGAGTCCAGAGGTGGAGCGTAAGCGTCATCGGGATCATCGGCCGCCGTCGTCAGATACGGACGAGCCAAAGCGGCGGAGGGAACACAAGCGGCCGCGTCAGCTTGTGATCAACCTGCCAGATCACATCCGGCTATAGATGCGGCTGCGGGCCGTGTGGAGAGGCCGTCGCGGCCATGCATGCGGAATTGGGTGAGGCCGCGGCTCGTCACCAAGGAAAGATCTGGCTTCGTGGCCAGGGTGCAGGACGTTTAGTCTGTGACTCGAGAGGTCTCTGGACGCGTCACATTGGTGAGGGTTGGGCAGCCCGATAGGTTTGTCATTTCGAAGAGAAACCCACTCTGCATGGACATACATAAGCGACAAAACAAAAGATATTGAACGAAACGCAAAATTGGTGAGGTTTCCCTTCGAACTTGTGTAGTTTCTCTATTTTGCACTTGTTGCGGACTGCAACGGCTGACATACTTTGGAATGTCTAGCGCCAAAAAAAGTTGTGTCTCGCTGGATGGGTCTAGTCTCGGGTGTTCTGTGACCGCAGCCGTTTTAACACTGCAGCTCTTTTTGGTTCGCAGCACGGTAGAAAGAGAAGCGGGGAGTACCTTCAGCTGCTAGAGCACGCACTTGCGTGGTGCGATGGACGCGGCGTTTGAAAGTTGCCGCGCTGACTATGTGGTTGCCCATGATGTCTGCGAGACATTGGCAACACTGCAGCCGCAGACAGACGCCGAGAAGTCGTGCGTCCTCGATATGCTGATCACTGTCTCGCACAGCCCAGGCGTCAGCGCAGAGGATCGCGACGTGTTGCACCGCTTGGCGGATCTGTTCCATGTTTCTTGGACCCGCTCCTGGGAGAGTTTGTCTCGAGGTAGCGGTCCAAGTGAGAGGAAGACGTATGTCCTGCGCTGCTATGTGCCGCCGCGTTGTCCCATGATTTGGGACGGCATGTTGGCGCAGGCGGATGTAAACGCACGCATGTGCGGAGTTGCAGCCACCGTTGTGCGGTCCGTGCAGGGCAGCTTGCCCAGGGGTGGGTTCCTGGACCGCACGCGTGGCTGGATCGACGTCGCACAAGCGTGTTTCAGCGTCACCGCGCAAAAGTTGCGCCGGGAGGAGCTTCCTGTGCAGGAGGGAGAAATGGCGTGATGGAGGGAAGGAACACCAATGAGTGCGGATGCATGCGGATGAGTGCGGTACTTTTAGGATAGTTTCTGCAGTGCATGCGGATGAGTGCGGACTTGCTGATTAGAAGGAAAAGATCATGAGTGCGGTGAGTGCGGGATGGGAAAGCCATAGATTTCGTAGCTTTTTTTGAGTGCGGATGCATGCGGGACTAGATCATAGGAAACAGTTAATGAGTGCGGATGAGTGCGGACGTACATAGCACGTCCCTTCCTGCTTGCATGTATGACATATAAACCTTGCATATTTCCGCAGCTTTTTGGTTCGGCTCCTAGCGTTTCACCTCTTTTACCGGGCAAAGTGCCTGCGCGGCACCAGACGGATTGCGGTCACCTGCGAGGTGACATGGCTGTGGTCGAGGCCGACCCGGCGCAGCATATCTGCAAGTGCTGCGGTTACACGTACCAGCTGACAGCTGGGCGCATCCACGGCAAGCAGTTCATGTGCCAAGGATGCAATAATATCCAGAACTCCATCCGCAGGAATCTGGGCGATACGGCGGACATGTCGGCGTGGAGCCCGGAAGAGTCGCAGGGTTTTTTCAAGCGCTTGACTGATGAGAAGAAGGCAGCGGGTGGGAGCCTCGCTTGGAAAACGGTTCGAGCGGCTATGTTGAGCACGCTGACAGAGCAGCGTGTGTCTTCGTTTGCATCAAACGTGGATGCAACGGAGCTGCCGTTGTCGGTATATGTGCAACAAGGTTGGCCGGAGGAAGTGATCAAACGCTTTCCGTCGCATCTGAGCGAAGAGTATGGCGTAGATGTTTACCGGGTGCCGGTGCGCCGTCTGAAGTGGAAGGAAGAATACGCGCACATCGAGCGTAAGCTCTTGGAGAAGGAACAGCATTGTTCCCAACACAAGGTTAAGGCCGGTGAAAAGTTGGATGTGCCTGAGGCTTCGAAACAGAAAGAAGACAGTGGCGGTGAGAAAGGCGCTGCCAAGAAGGAAGCTGCCGCGCTGAAGAAGATTCAGACGCAGAACGAACGCGTGGCGAATCTCGCTGCGCGGTCACTGGGTCCACTCAGTGGAGCTGAGTCTGGTTTGAGCAAGATTCTGGCCAAGGCAGAGAAAGCTTCAAGCCATGCTCCTGAAGCAAAGCAATTGTGTGAGGAGCAACTGGAGAAGGCCAAAGAATGGAGCTGCGCTGCTCGTGCCGCTGTGAACCAGCAGCAAGAAAATCTCACGCAGCAGGCTGCAGGAGCAGCTGTGCAGGAAATCGCTGCGCTTCCGTTCACAGGTGAAGACTTAAAGATACACCTGAAGACCACAAACGAAGCGCAGAAGGCTTTGCGCACCAGTCTTCCGCAGCCGAAGGCCAAGGCGAAAGCGGAGACAAAGCGTTCAGCCGAAGCGGCAGGAGATGGAACGGATGCTGCTGAGCCGCAGCCAAAGCGCCTGCGTGGCAAGACGCCGCCAGATTCGTAGGCTGTCGCCCGTGGGCGGGTATTATGTCAGGCTGTAAGGCTTGACTGGTTGGGGAGCACTTGCGTGGTGCTCCAACTGCCTTGGTGCGCGCATGGTACTGGGGACTATGTGCATTTTGATCCAAGATGGCCACGCGTCGCTGAAAAAAAACAAGCGCAGCAGGTGGGGAGGTCATAAACGGTAATTTCCGTAGCCTTGTTGGAACCTCGGTGTTAGTGCAGACCATTTGTTGATATAACATGTGAACGAGTTCAGAAAATGGATCAAAACAATCTGATAATTTCTTCACGTCTGTTTGCCGTTGTCAATGTCTAACAGTCTGACCGGTCGGTATCTTTCGGTTCAAGGGAAAGTAGCATGAAACGTAGAAGACTCAATCAAGATGATGCTCCGCGAGAGCAATTTTCAGCCTTGCGGCAGATTCCAACACTGACCCACGAACAGTGTCGACAAGTTGTGGCTTTATTGCATCCAGAGGATGAAGGTCGCCACACTTGTGTTCGGCCCAAGGACGTGCACCCCGAGGCGTTGCCATGTCTGCGAGACATATCGATCGAGAGAGACGGGACGCCATTGAAGGTGCATTGCATGGCACTATCTGCGTTGATAGAGGCCAAAATCAAGCTGTGTCCGCTCTTCGCAGCTTGCATGGAGCGGATGTACAAAGCCCATGGTCCTAAGCAGCCTCTGATTTTTTATGCAGATGACACCCAAGGAGGCAACACCCTTGCGGCGACTGCCACTCGCAAGAGCACGCTTATCTACGCTGCCTTTTTGAACTTTGAGTTCTTGCATCTCGAGTCTCTGTGGTTGACGCTTAGTGTCATCAAGGCCTCAGATGTCGAGACGTGCAAAGGTGGCCTTGCGTCGGTCGCAAGTGGTCTTCTCAGTTTTTATAAGCAAGAAACTGAATGCGGTATCCCTGTGCGAATCGGGGAGCAAGGGCATGAGTTGCTGTTCATCCCCCACATCCTGTGTTTGAGCGACCACGAGGGCATTCGCGCCGCCCTAGGGTGTAAGGGCAGCGCTGGGTATAAACCATGCATCAAGTGCAGAAATGTAGTGGCTGCGAGCCGCGCTGCAATTTCCGCACACGTGGACATCTGCTGCATCGACGTCAATCGATTTGTCAAGCAAAGACAGGAAGATGTCGAGGACATACTTGAGGTGCTGTCCGCACAGGGCACAAAGAAACGGAAGGAACAGGCAGAAGTCATGCTGGGATTCAAACTGTCTTCCCTGGTGGAAAGTCCACTGGGTCAACGACAGTTGAGAGACTTCTTCCGGCTTGACTTTGTGCAATATGATGCCATGCATCATCTGTTCAGCAATGGAATCATTGCAGAAGAACTTGGCCTCTGGTTCGCAGCGTGTCATGAAGCTGCAGGCGTAACAGCGGACCACATGCGGCGCTACGCCTGCGTGGCGTGGAGCCCTGTGAAAGGGGGGCAAGCGGAGGCTCCGCGACCAGATAGCCTCTGTGGAGAGAAGCTGTGGAAGTTAACCGCAGATTTCCGAGGGGACGCGCAAGCATGCCTGCACGCGTTGCCGCTGTGTGCGGCGTACAGTGAAGACATGCTGCGCGATGGCTATCCATCTTTGTCTCCCGTCTTGGATTCGTTGAAAGCACTGCATGAGGTGGCGCAATGCGTTAAAGCCTGCAAAGCCAATGCCGCGGCTTCGGGTCGCTTGCTGCCCTTGCAGCAAGCGCACATGCGCCTCTTCATTGCTGCATACTCGGCCAATGCATGTCGGCCAAAGATGCATTATCAATTGCATCTGAAGGAACAAATGGATCTGTGGGGCAAATCGATCGATTGCTTTGTCCGCGAAAGAAAGCACAGGCAGTACAAGGCGATCTGCGCTGCCAAGCTGACGTGCAGTCAGCAATCATTTGCTCGCAGTGCGCTCTTGGAACTTAGCTCGCAAGAGCTGTCCATGCCGCTGAGTGCGGACAAGCTTGGAACAAGCTTCGCAAGCAAAGTTTCTGTCAGTTGCGCGCTGACAAAGATACTGAGAACAAAGGTGCCGGTCCAAATGGCATCAGCCTTGCAGCACCGCAGCATTCGCTACGGCAAGGGTCTCTTCGTGCTGCTTTCCAATGGCTTGGGTGCAGAAATTATTTGCGCTATCCACACAGGGGAAGAATTTGCCCTATTGGTGGAAATCCTCAAGCCGCTTGGTGACCACAAAAACCCAGGAAGATCGCTCTGGAGGCGTCCTGGGCCTGCCGAGTGCAGTCGCGCGCTGCTACCGGTCACCAAGAACTTTAATTCGGATTGCACACAATTCATGTATGTGCGCCACGACAACAATACGTTGTGGCTCTTGCAGTGAGCGTCCGCGAATGTGGAGTTGAAAAGCAATCTGCGTGACAACTAAGGAAACACATGAAATACAGGAAATAAACACATGTCATTAAAAAAAACTTGCTCAAACGCCAAAAACAATGAAATCATCAAAAACAGCCAAAAAACACTACTTGGAACTTAATGAACTTAAAATGAACTTATAAGTTCTATGAAAAACACATCAAGATAACTTCGATATAACTTCCATAACTTACTTATAAGTTCAACAAGTTCCCGGCTAAAGCAAAGTACCAAACATCATGGTTTCGTTTCGGGAGAGCCACGAGTCGGCGAATCATGGCGCTAGGCGGCACACAACCGCGGAGAATGCAAGCCTTGCGGTTTCTTGGGGCACCAAAGTGCAAGGCTTGGGGGAAGCAGTTTTTTTTCGGGGAAAAAACGCATAGCCAAAATCATCCAATAATATCGGAAGTTTAAGCTAGTTCAAGCTCTTGAAACGCTGTAAGCAAGATTCATCATCTCTCGCTAAGTCACGGCCATGATGAAAAGGACCGGTTCCAATTTCAGCCATATTTGGCGGAGCAAAACTGTCCTCACCCTCAACGTTTTTTCAGATGCGTGCTGGGTGTTTGATAGCCGGTTGGCCGGTTGGCCATGAGGGTGGGGATTTTCGAATCAGCTGGCTGCCCTGATTGGAGATGAGGCTGGAAACTTGAGAGGCGATGAACAAGTTGGTTGGTCCAACTGTAGATCAACACGGCACCGCCATTTGGTGCCCTTGGAGGCTTCGGCAGCGCCGCCAATGTGCCCCAGGGACACGTCAACAAAGACGAGATGGCAGACTGGTGCGCGGGCTTCAAACTTCCAAAACGAGCACAGAGCAGAGCTGTCGTGGTGCTGTGGCGGTGCTTTTGCTTTGCATTTTCGCTTTTCGCAGCTCAACCCCAGTTGGGCGGCCGCGCACTTGTTGTACAATTTCTCCTTTGGTTGGATTAGCCAACTGGGAATTGTGCAATTTCCCTCAAATCTTTTGCTATTCATTGATGGTAGGTAGATATGATATATCCGCCAGATCTAAATCTCATATACTTAAAACTAAAATGAACCGACTCAGAGGGACATCCATCGGTTGATATAAGTCAGTTGATGAACATAGCTTAGCTGGGGTTTACAATTGATGTACCGTCCGGTAATCAAAAAAGGCAGTGGGAAATGCCAAAAAACGGAGGCTTTACCTTTAATTGGAAATTCATCAAGAAATGAGGTATTTTCCATTGCCATGTTTGATGACCCGAGGGTACCTACAGTTGGATGGGTTGATCGGTTTAACTCTGGGGGGCCACACTGTAGGCATCCTCATAGAGGTTCTATTGGTACTATGTCAGCAGCCACAGCACTGCGAATGGATCACATGTTTTGGTCCTGCACATGTTGACTTTGGCCTTGTTTGATCATATAGGTATATTATGGCCATGTGGAGTTGTCTTATCTACGGTTAAAGCACTTTACCAGTTCTAAATGGACATAACAGAATGGTCATAAATGGCGTTATCATTTCATAAATGGGGTTACAGCTGATTTGTAACTGGTAAAAGGGCCATAACTATAGATCAACTCAGCATTTTGCATAAGAGTTGCGTAAATACACCAGCATGATGCATGCATCTTTTCACATGTCAGCAGCTCCTCTCCAAATCATTTCTCAAACCAGATCAGAAAAGCACCAGAGTCCCCAGCTGGTTGGTGGTTTCAAACATTTATTATTGTCCATAATATATGGGATAATCCTTCCCATTGACTATTATTTTTCAGAGGGGTTGAAACCACCAACCAACCAGCAGTTGATGGCCACTGCTGAGGTTATTTCTTATACAAAGCGGATGGGTGCCGGAATGGCCACTGAGCGATGAGGGGTTGGATGGTTGGCCACTTCTCGACATATGGTGATATGGACTAATAAGCAGCCAGGAAAAAAAGTATATACTTATCTATATGGTATACATGTGTATATTTTACATATATATATATATTTACACACAAATATATAATCATCATATTGATTTGCTCTTATATATAGTAGACATATGTAGACGTATGTAGACGTATGTAGGAGTCTGCCAAAGTCTTGCCGGCAGGGCTTCCGAGAAAGGTGTGGCCCTATGGTGATCAACTCGGTGAATTCCATGGTCCAGCTGGTAGAGATATCTGTAGGACCCTCTGGTAAACTAACAGTTTGCTATTGAAAATGGCCATTGAAATAAGGAGTTTTCCCATTAATAGCATGGTGATTTTCCATAGTTATGGGACAGTTTATCAGAGGGTAGGTGGTTAAACCAACCTCACCTTGTGTGATTCTGTTGATGTTGCAAACATATCTAGCTATGGGATACGACATAATACAAGCGAATGTCGTGGCCATCATGGGTTTCACCCACCTGGAGTTTTAGCACACCATGTTTCCACCCATCCAATGATAACACCATTGAATTAGGAATACCATGATTTTCAAGATTTATCCATGGTGTTAAATCACCATGGATATTCCCATATTAAATGGTTGATGTTTTTCATGGTCTAACCATGATAACCAAGATGATGACCATGATAATCATGTTACATATTCAATAACCATGACAATAACCATTTGTTGATGTGTCCACTTTCCCATGGCTTTCCCATGGCTTTCCTTTTTGAGGCGATCGCTGCCCGTACTGCCACTTGTGCAAGAAAGGCCCCGCCCGGGGCCGGTCGGTGAGCGGCTGGTCTCTCTGAGGAAATCTTTGCTGATCCAGTTTCTGTTGGTGATATTATCCCAAAACATCTAGAAATATGTCTCTTAGTAAAGATCATTAACAGCACTTCAACAAGACCTTGTTCGTTTTGACTTGGATGTAGTTGTTCACTATTTTCATCAAAAACACAACCAAAAAAAACATCATCAACAGTCATTTAGAGTTTATATATTATGTATCACTTATTAACACCTCTCCAAAATTTAAAGCCCATTAAAAACCCAGTAAACCTACTATAGCACCTGTTCAACTCCCAAGTGTTTCACCTGTTTCTGTTTCTGCTTCCTGTCGCTTGGCGCGGCAACGCGGCAACAGGTGAGATCAAACGTCGCAAGCGGATGAAGGCCAAAGGCTCCAAGGAATCCACCGCAGCTTGGCCGATGAATCGAAGTGGCTGCCGAAGCGAAGCGATGAAGCCATGGGGTTGTTTTGAACCATGGGAAAACCTATGGGAAAATGGTGATGAATAGTGGTTAATAATGGTGATTAATAGTGGTTAATAGTGGTTAATAATGATAATTAATGGTGATTAAGAGTGATGAATAGTGGTGAATAGTGGTTAATAATAGTTAAAACCCAGGTGAAAACAATTAGTGTTAATATGTTTGTTCTAACTGGTGATTTCTATGGTGATTTTTTTTGTGGTTAATAATGGTTTTTATAGTGGCTAGTGATGAATGATGGTTATTTCTATGGTTATTCTTCAGGGATTTTACTGATCATCCCCAAACTGATGGGTTTTTCTGGGTACACCATCATTTTTTTAGTGGGTGGTTTATGACAGCGGATTGCCACCTTTGGTCATTGCTGGGATAGTTGACATATATATAATATAATTTATAGGTATATATAATTATATATATAACTAATTAAACTATCGTTTAGGCTAGATATATCATGATGTATCTCTATAGTTCTGTGTTTTTACTGGTCATTGGTTCTTGCTGCTACCGTACCGGTAACCCCTGCTGCCTCCCAGTGAAAAAATGCTTGATTAACCAATTTACCAACAGAGCCTTAAACCCTAGCGAAGCTAGTTGCCAACTTAGCCATCTATTGGGATTATTGGGCACTACATGGCGCCAAGATTGCCATGTACCGTTTCACGGCCTTAGGCTTCTGAGACTGTGCCCGAATGAAGGCTGGGAAAGAAATCCCCGTGCGACATGGGGAAATCATGGGAACATATAAAGAACCAAGGAAATTGCATGATAAATTTGGTATTTAAGTTGGAAAAGTCATAGAAAATCATGGAACTCAATGGGTGATTGTCTAGCAATGCATGTTTGATTGAAGGGTAGCACTGGGAAATCCATGAAAAACAGCCCAAACATCATACTGGGCCAATCTTGGACCGGATGTTCCGACCTGCCTTGCCTGAAATAGTAAGATGCACAGCAATGTAGCCACGCCCATACAAAGCGGTGCCCCACATTTATGATGAGTTTGTTGTGTTTCACCCATTCAACTATCTATGCATATGTAATATTGTAATCATATTTGGTTGATGGAGAACATTTTTTATTTTTCCATTTAGTTGGGAATGTCATCTTCCCAACTGACGAACTCATATTTTTCACGGGGGTTCAAACCACCAACCAGATATAGATATATGAAATGTATATATTTTATACGCATGGAACTCATTGGTAACTCATAGGTAGACCTACTTAAAGTTTCCAATATACTTTGCTGCCCGCAGCCGCGTATTCCAACCATAGTCCTACCTAAATGCCAAATCCTCAGGATGATGTCCCTTAGAAGCCTGGAGCAAGGTGGTGCTCCAGTTCTAGGCGTAAAAACTATGTCAACTATTACGCACAAATCTACATAGTATCTATCTACAATTTATATATATATACATGTCCATACAGTTATTATTAGAATATCTATGTGAAGTTTCAATATATGCTATATTATCCATATTGGCATGGTTTCGTATATCTAGATCTGCTCAATTTACCCATCTGATTCACCATCCCCGGCACGGGGCGCGGCCCGTTTCAACCGCAGACCCCTTAGCCGGTCATATGGAAACGGCATCCCGACGCAAGCTCGGGAAGCTGCTTCGACGGAGGCATTTTTGGTTGCCATACCTCTGAAGTGGTTAATACTGATTGATAGTGATTACTATAGTAATTTACCCAGATTAATGGTGATGAATAGTGGTTAATAATGGTGGATAGTGGTTAATAACTGGCTGGTGGTTTGGAACATCAGTCTTATTGCCCATTTCATATATGGGATGTCATCCATCCCAACTGACGAACTCATATTTTTCAAGATGGTTAAAACCATCAACCAGAAATTGTTTGTCATGCACATATCCAAGTTGTTTGTCATGGACATATTCTGACAAATATCCAGCAATCATTCATGGACATATTCTGGACGTATCATGGTGCATATGAGTTAACCATGATTCCCCACTGTACTTTTTGAAGCTTCATGTGGATCGTTGATTTGGAATTTATGGAGCCTTGGTAAAACTCTGTTCGTTGCCATGTTGGGACGGGAACATAACCTAAGCAGCCAAAAGTTGTCACCATCATTTGCCCAAAAGAATCACCCAACAGTAGCTAAATATACATCAGAAGATTGCCCAATGATCACTGGGTGTTTCATGGGATTTACTGTGCCAACAGTTACATGAGCATCTGGGATATGTATATCTATATATATATATATGTCTATGTAAATAAATAAATATATATATATAATATAATATATATATATATTATGATAGTTCCCCCCTCCCCAGAAAAAAGTAACATATGGAAAGGTCAACTGCCTGGTGATGGCTAGCCATTCAAAAATCCAGATTTAAGCAGCAAACTTCGAGAGTTAATGAGATCTGGATGAATGGATTAATGACCTGAATGTAACGTCGCTGGAATGAGAGTTAGTAAGAGGAATCATCCCCAAATGGCGGCGGTATAGTATTGGGCCATTTTTAGATCGATGAAGTATTCCAATTCAGCCAGATGAGGTCATTGCTATGTTTATGGTAGACGGTCATCAGACTTAATGAGAGTTTACATGACACCTCACATTTTTTTTTCAGCATGCTCTGGCTTGTCGACACTGTATTTTGCCAGACCGAAAATGTTCAATTCAAGCATGTAAAATGAGATTGAAGCAAACAAACAATCAAAGCAAGGTGTTCCGAAACCATTGGTAATATGGGAAAAACTATGTGAAATGGGACAAACTATCTTTTCAATACATGTAATAGCGGGTAATATCAGAAGCGTTTTTTGTGGCCAGCATTTGTCGCCAATCTGACCCCTGAAACCTGGATTCGGCCATGAAACAGTTAGTGCGTTAGTGCTGCCCCCTATCTTTGCTCGGGTTATTACGCACTTACTAAGTGGGATGAGCCACCAAGTAGGTGAAGTGTGATTTATGAACAGACGCAGAAAGACTAACTGGTGCAACTAACGCAGAAAATTCAGAAACTGCTGGGACCACTTGGGCACCACTTTGTATGAGCCGATGCCCTAACTAGGTGAATTACACGGACCGCACCAGGATGGAAAAGTTGGTTGGTAATTACATTTGAGGCCTTAGATACCTCAGGTATCGGTATCTAGCCTTGTTTAATTAGATTGAAACTCGCCAGGGTGTCCTGTGGTGCCTCTACTTTAGATATCAAACCACTGGCAACAGTTAATCCCAAGGTGTTTTCCGTTGTAAACCATGGATATTTCCAAGCTAATAAGGTCACATTAGCTGAGGATACCCCCTGAAGTGTCTCGTGACAGCTTCAACGATGGATGGTCACCAAAGTCTACGTCGCTTGCATTGCTGGCGTTTTTTTTTTCACAGCGCTGTTGCTTGCATCCTTTGACTATTGATTGAACAGGTCCGTTTAGACCACCAACATGTGACACTGAAACTTGGCTTCAAAACATGTACCCTCTGGTAAACTAACATAGCTATTGAAAATAGCCATTTATAGTGGATTTACCCATTGAACATTGTGATTTTCCACAGTTACGTTAGTTTACCAGAGGGTAACTTGAAACATTTTACCATTTTTACCTTGGGTATAATTCCAATTGACAATGATTTTTTGTCCTCTGAGATGGATTGAACCGCCTTGGTGCAACAGTTGGGGGGCATTTCGCGCTTAAAAGCATTGAAGCCTATTTTGGGAATGGTGCCCGTAAATGTGACAAGACGCACACTTTTGTTGGGCCTAATTTGTATACCCAAATATTGAGCCACACCAATATCCAGCAGAAAATTATCAAACTGGGTCAGGGACAAAGGGAAAATCTGCAGGTAGCCCGATACTTGATGGTTGGTGAAGCCATGTTCAGCCCCATTTTAGTGTCCCAAATTATTGTATATGAATGGGAATTTCAGGACTACAATTGAGGTGCTGTCAAATATAAAACAATATTTTGGGGACAAATCCCCATACATAGGCCTTACATGCCCTTATACATGGTAGTTACCTTCAATTTAGGCATTGATTTATTTGGTCTTGTTCCGATTACTGTGGGTTATCCGGTTATCCTCCCTGTTTTCTTTAGGGGAACCTGAGGGGCCCAAGGATTAATTTAGCAGAAGTACAAAGTGGTGCCTCCAGTTGTGTTTCGCTGGTTTTGTCACCACGTTGTACCAAAGTTCCATAGATTACGAGAAAAACATCATATTCTCCCATTATATCCCCGTGTTTTTCACCATGAAATATCATGAAATGTTGCCATATATATATATATATATCCATATATTGGTGGTTCATTCCCAATAAATTCCAAGTCTTTTTGGAAAATTGATCTGGGCAAAATCCAGGATGCTCGCGCAACAGTCCTATGGATATCCATGGGTCCCATTTCTTCACACCAGGCCCCAAAATAGCGGGGCCAAATGGGCAGTCGCAGTGCTGCAGATTTCCCTTGGAATGCTGGCAGATTGGTAGGTGCCTTTGGTTGCCATACCTGCAGGATGGAGCCCCCCAGTTATGATTTATAACCCCATCTAAATATAGGTATAAATATCATACACTATTATAAATTGTTTTTGATACTTGTATAATAACACAATAGTGTTTTATAGGTGTATATATATATATACTGTTATATACTATATACTGTTATGTTAGTCAATAGTCTATTGTAAAACTAAATATGCCTATTGTTATTTGATGTTTTTTGCACCAACTGAACGCGAACGCACTGGGATGCCCACAGGATGCCATCCTGTGGGGATGTCATGGCTTATGATAACTACCCTCTGGTTATGACTAACATAGCTATGGTATAGATGGCCCATAGAAATAGATGGTTTACCTGGGTTTACCGATTAAAAATGGTGATTTAAACCATGGCTATGTTAAATAACCAGATGGTAAGCCCCGAATAACCATCACGTTTGCAGCGAAAATGACGATCATTCATCGGAGAGTGGGGTTCCCGAAAACTTTGAGACAAACCCAATTGTCGTGGATCATCACTAAATTCCAATCCCACTGAATCACCAGATGTCCCACGATGTTCATCGCACACGGGGATACTGACCTCAGCGACTCAGCACAGTCCCGGCCCATGGTGTAAGGCCGGTGGGGATCCTTCACCCGGCCTTGCATGCTGTCTGGCGCCGTAACCGCCCAGCCGGCGCCGCAAAGTAGGATGCAGACGCAGACGTTCGTGGCGACTCGTGGCAACGGAGTCCATAGATCATCATAGATCTGGATGGTCCCCAGATTCAGTAGAAATGGAGGGTTTTCCACCCCTCCAATGTCCCTCCAATCTTGGAGGTGTCAAAAAAATCGGCTTGTTGCAGGATATGAATGGGATATTGATGTGATATGAATAGGGTAAAAATGGAATACATGATTTCTGGATACTTTTGAATGGCTCACTGCGGCGTCACTGGAGTGGTATTTAGACTATTTAGATACAGTTTTCCTTCTCAAATATATCCAGGTGAGATTGACCAGCGGGATCTAAGATCAGCCCGTGTTGAAAAACGCTGACGCTGGGGATTTCGCCACAGAAATGCTGATCATGCTCATGCTCATCTACCAAAGTCAAGAAATTCTGGGGAAAATAAAACCTCAAACATCATCAGCATTTGTTCAGTAGTGAAAGAGTCTACATCTAGAAATCAGCATCCCATGATCTACATGAGCGCACACATATAAAATCATAATCAATCATATAAATTTCTACTCAAAGATCATCCTGAAATTTCGCTTGATCTCAGAATATTCAGAATGAATTGCAGAGACAGAAGGATTCCTGGCCACTGCCTGCTGGAAAGTTTCTAATGCTTGGATGATCATCCCACGGATCAGATTTCGATTCATGCTTCGGACGCCATTCCGTAGACCTTGGTGAATGGTTGGTGGATGGGGCCCTGCAGGCCCCCAAGATGGGTTGCCTGAGTGGTTTAACTATGGTTTATGGTAGATATAACTATAGCTAATGGGCTGCAACCAACATTGCCATCACACTTTTGCTTACTTTTGGGGCACAAAAATCCTGTAGTAAATTGAGTCATTTTGACGAAGTGAACATGATCTTCCCAAGAAAATTCCACATTTTTCAGAGGTGCCTCGGTGCGTACCTCTCCTCTAAAGGATGATCACCTGAGACCTGCCGAAAAAGACCTGACCAACGCACCGACCGTGTGCGACAGAGAGCACTTGCAGCTTCTAATTCAGCGTGCCACTGGAGTTTACCCTGGCCTTCCTGATTTGTTTGGTTAATAAAGTTTATATTCTAGCTGCTCCATATTATGGAATCGTTGTTTATCAACATTTAGCCCCAAAATTACCTCAATCTTGTAACATATGAGATCCATACATGCAGTATATGGGTATTGTAGTTATTGTGACATATCTCCAGCCTCTATTTGGATTGGGCGAACAAAAATCCTCCGTGAAGATCAGGGTGTATGGTTGCAGCAGGCCGCCCCGCCCGCGTTGAGAGCCTCACCACCGCGTGATGCGACTTTTAGACCACCTGGGCTGTTCGTCCAACAAAATCGTTGCGGCCTAGACACGGCCTGAGGCGACCCTACAACTATTTCTCATAGGCTACAAGATGGAAATTGATGAACCATTTTTGTGGTTTCGGGGGTTTCAATGTTTGTGGTTTCGGGGGTTCAAGATCTATGTGGCTAGGCTATTTCTGAAAGGATGAACTTCTCCAGCTGTATACACGACCCAGAACCCCCATGATTCACCTGGTCTAAAGATGAAGGAGGCGTATGCCATGGTGACAAAGCCGTGCGCACATCATTTCTAAGCCTTACCCTCTGGTAAACTAACAGTTTGCTATTGAAAATTGCCATGCTATTAATGGGTAAATCAACTATTTCGACTGGGCCATTTTCTATGTGGCAAAGTGTTAGTCATTACCAGAGGGTAAGGCTTAGTCATCCACCAGGATCCACTTGAAAAAAAAGGGCAGATCTATCCCATTTCTATCCCTCAACAAGAGATGGAGTACTGGTTGACTCCCGGGTGAACATCCACCCCCAAAACGAAAGGAAATCATGGGAAATTCACTGTTTCCATGCATTTTCCTGAAGAAATTTCAATCAAAACCCAACAGTGATCCCAATTGAGTTTGTGTATAAGCCGCAAAAGATTCTAATTATCTAAGTCAATCATCAATCAATAAGCCACCCTTCTCCCAACCGAACTTCCATAAAGTATCATAAAGTCATATTTTTTCCAGCATCTTCCGTTCTATCCAGTTCTCCCGGTGAAAATCCCGGTTTGTCTGAAAATACGGTACCTAAATGCACTGGTGAATCATCCATACGAAATAGCAATGGGCTTGGGGTATACCACCAGTGTTTCAGACACACCATGGACAAGTTGCAACTTTCAAGATCCAGTTTTTCAGAGAAACCATTATTTTGGAAACGCTTTGTAAAATATCTTTAAAAAAATGGTGGCTAAACCATATCAACGCCCTTTTTGGCGGCTCTCTCTAGGTCCATATCAACATTCATACATCTTAAGACCAATATCAAACATCATATTAATTACAACCATTTATTCACACCATAGCCAATACCCTTTGGTAAACTAGCAGTTGGCTATTGAAAATGGCAATTTATAGTGGAATTACCCATTAAAAATTGTGATTTTCCATAGTTAAATGTTAGTTTACCAGAGGGTAACTTGAAACATTTTTCCATTTTTACCTTGGGTTCTAATTCCAATAAAAACACATTTTTCAAATATGTCCAAAATCAGACCCATCCCCAAAAAAAAAGCACCAAAGCCTCTGGAAATGTCCAGCTTTTCCAGGCTCCCGCGCCGTTGGGTGCCTGCTCCATTGGGGCAGCAGTGAGCTGTCCCAAAGGAGGCAGCTGTCAGGGGAATCAATGCTGCCCTGATGGAGCCTCGGCGATTTCGATTCCCAGCACTGGGTCCCCTGGGTGGCTGGTGCTTTGGAACATGGCTTGGAAAAAATGGTGGTGAATGGTGGTTAGTAGTGGTTAATAATGGTTAATGAGTGGTTGGTGGTTTCAGAGATTTGTTATTTTCCATTTCATATATGGGATGTCATCCTTCCCATTGATATTTTTCAGAGGGGTTGAAACCACCAACCAGAAGTGATCATTATTTCCCCAGATAAATAAACTAAATATTGATTGATTTTCCTGAAATAATGATGGCTCATAGTTAGTCCAAAACAGCAAGCAGCTACCGCACAAGCTGCGACCAAGCAAAAGCAGCAGGAAAAGAGGAGGAAGGAGAATGCGAGGAAATGAGGGACTTTTTGCAACCGAAAGCGCAACGAAGGCCGTTGGAAGGATATGGTTGAGGAAAAACGCAAGCTGGCGGATGAAAAATCCCAGCTTGAGGAGCACCGCTGTTTCGAATGCAAAGTGGCTGCCCATTTTGTCAAATTTGTTGAAGTCTTTCTAAGCCAGAATTTGGCCCTGTGAAAAAAATGTGTGCCAGCCACTCTCAGGATCTATGTATTATCCCCATAAAATGATGGACATATATTCGTGCTGACATATTGCTGAAATTCTGACACGAATTGATTATAGAATGATTTATATAAATGGTTTTTCTCGTTGAGTTGATCCTATATAAGATTTTGAATAGAGCCACTCTTGCTTGGGTATAGTTGGGGTCAAGGGAGTATGGGGTAGCGATTTTATCTGGATATGTTCCAACTACTTCGGGGTGTCACATCATTGCCGCAAGGGGTGTCATTTGTGATTTGTGTGCTAAATGTGGCCAATTCTCATGTTGATTCTGGGCCGTTGGGAGCAAGCCTGTCTGTTGATTGCGTATATGTGCCATGGTGAAAACATTGGTTTCGCATCAAAGGGGATGGTCATCGATCCATTTTTCCAGCGTTTTCTTTTCCGAACTTTTCGGACTTGCTCCCAAGTAAAACGTCCGAGGTGTGTCGTCAGTGATGGTACGCCACCAAAATCCATTGAGCTCATCATGAGGAATGCCTGATGGTGAGATGAATATACCCCCTATTCCATTTTCTGATAATGGCACATGGTGAATGACTGGAGTTATGGCGTCATTTCTGCTTTTTTTTTTTTCTTCAATGATGGTTGCTGATGGCTTCATCATGAACCTTCCGGGGGGTAGTGTCAAATACTACCCGGTCAGAAAGGGGAATGTGAATCATAGCGAGGGGTTCCATGGAGTTTTTTGTGAATTTGTTCATACCTGTGATGTAGAAAGATCACCAACTCACATCAACTAACATCAACTAACCAAGTAACCAACGAGATGTAGGAACAAACCAAAGTGGGTTTCAAATGTTATACCATTTGTACGCGGAGGGTGAAGCCCAAAACTGGGAGAAAACACATGATTTGTCCACAACGACCTGGAGCAACTGAGTTGACATTTGCAAAAGGCAGAGCCAAAGCATGTGGAGACATCAACAGAAGATGGGAAACATCATTGAAGAAGAGAATGGGAAAGGCAAACATCAATGATACATGAAATATATAATTAAATCGTGTTTGCATGATGAAACACTAGAATTATGATTTGAACATGGGAAACATCATTGCTGGTGCATTAAACAAAGAGGAATCCATGAAACTCCGTTCATATATGACATGCAGGACCTTCCAATGGAGGTGTTTAACATCAGGGAGATGGTGGTAGTATGCCTTTGAACAACAGGAGGGCGGTGAGTTTCTTTTCAATGACCTTCCGGTAATTTCAATCACCATGTTTGATAGGTAAATCTTTTTTTTTTATAAAAAACATCGCAAGCATTCAACAGTGAACACATTACTGTTGAATAACTAGATAGCATTAGGTAACGGAATAGGTAAATATTCAACAGTTTAATTCACCATTTGTCATTATTCATGTTTAGGATACCATATGATTCATATGATCAGCATTTTGATGATCTAGTCATGGTTCACCATCATTCAAGGGTAAATCATGGCAAATCTATCATTTTCCACAGCAAAGTGTTGTAGCCAAAAACTGCAGCAACCCGCCCAGGAAGCACTTGTCCATCGGCAGATGTCGTAACCTCGGTGAAGGGATTCTAAGGGCAAAGAATGATAAAGAATGTTTGAAACATCATATAAAAATAGGTGGCTTTTCCCAGTAACATCTTTCTTGTTTGATGTTTTTTTCCTAACCACCATGAACTGACTAGTTCGATGTATGTATCATAAACCCGAGGGGAATTTGGTGTTTTTCTTTGCATGTAACGTAGCGAGCGATAACTGGAAAATGAGAAATGGTGGGTAAATGTTTTGGAAAACTTTGGAATAGAAAAGGGTGTGGCATCTTTTGATAAAACTAGAAATATTGCAACATCAATACAATTCAATTCCAAATTTGCAATACCATAAACACATGATAGAAAACGTATGAACATGGTGTTTAATATGGTTTACTTTTCAAGAAGTCGTTTGCAGTAACCTTGTTGTAACCCACTGTCTTGACATGCGCAAGGTTGAAAAATTACCCCTGCCTGCGCCATCGTCTTGACAGCGATGCACCCCCCCCTTTCACGGTCTGCAGTTTAGACTTTGAAACTTAGTATAAATGCATCCCAGAAGTTTTGTTTTGCATTTTTTGGGTTTCAGAACTTGGATGATGAAAAACATGAAATTGGTTCAGATCTTGCTTTGAACACTGGCAGGGATTCATTTTGGATTGATTATAATAATATTCATACTACATTATATATATATATATGTGTGTGTGTGTGTTTTCATGCATATATATATATATATGTATTATATGTGTTTGTTAAGATATAGTGACCGACCTACATTTTGGAGCAAACATAACCCCAAAGGAGGTTCTACGTGTTTGTTTTTGTTTTTTTTTACGCAAATCAATACTTAGAACCTCCCAAATGTTCTAAGTGTTTGCTCCAAACATTTTGGCAAAATTGAGGTTCTAAGTGTATGTCGGTCACTATAGTTTTTGTTTCACACCTGTTGTTCCATGAAAATTCGCCCTATGACCTTGGCCCTTAAAGGGCACCTATTTTAGGGCCACCTTCAGGCGAGCTTCAAGGGCTGTGGCGACGTGAAAACGGAGGATTGTACCAAGGCTGGGCAGGTAACCTGGGCCTTGTGAAACATGCGGATTTGCCGATTTTTCATCGGGGATTTGCATGAGATTCAACTATCAATCGGGTTTTGAAGGGTTTTAACCAGGTTTTAACCATAAGTAACATTGTACAACCGATAGTTGAAGTGTTTAGCTATTTGGGGCAGTTGACATGTAGCCATGGTGATCTAACTGGTCGGGGTTCCCCAGTGCGCAAAAAATGAATGGACGTCTAACCAAATCAAATGGGGATGTAACCTCGTGATATACGGTAGACCGGGTAGACCTATGTAAACCTTGGATGTGTGCCTTAGTGCACAATATTCTGGTGTTGCAATCTTGATGGGAGAACCGGTTGACCAGCTACAAAATAAGTTGATTGAAAGGTGTCCACGGTGAATCAGTGTTCAACGTGTGTGGGGTAGAAAAGGCACGAACTTGTTGATTTGTAGATGATGTGCACGTTTCATGCGATATATATATATATATATATATTTGTATATACACATATTTGAATGTGTATATATATATATATACATGTCTACATATATCTTCAGCATTCTACGGCATCTATTCACACACGTATACATTTAACACGTCTACTGTATATTCAATTAAATCAATGATGTCAGATTAGTGGCGTCTTGGCTCTTGGGAGAGCCAAGACGCCACATCTGACGCCATTTTCCCTATAAATACTGTAATTACTGTAATTAATGTAGAGCGAAGGGGCAACTAAGAGTTTATCAACCACATCATACTGTTACAATGTTGTGGAAAGGTGTTCTTGCACTCTGTTTTTTGACTTTTTGACTATCCATTTGAGACAAACTGTTAAAGCAAAAAAGTCAAGGAAACAGCGGTTCTGATTACCATCCAAATGCATTCAAGTGTCCTGTAGGTTTTGAATCAAATGAACAATTCCCGGAAATAAAGCTTTATCGTCCTCAAAGATGTCGGGATGGTGCAGTATATCACCTAATTTGCTCAGAAATGGGTTTGCGACATCTTTTTCTCTTGCAACCTCATGCCTTTATAGCCAGAGCTCTTTCTGACGGCATCTCTTCTCTCTTTCTCTTGCCATCTCTTTCTTTTGAAGTCTTTTTTCCTTGCGCTAAGATAGTTCAATGGTCCCTGGTTTGTGGTTTGGAAATGTTTGGAACATGTTTTATTTTCCATAATATATGGGATAATCCTTCCCATTGACTTTCACATTTTTCAGAGGGGTAGGTCAACCACCAACCAGGTCCTTTCTGATCGTAGCAACTAGCTCTCCACTCCGCTTTCGGACATTTCCTGTGGCATCTTGCTGGACGTGGCCGGCATGGAAGCAGCCAAGAACGGAACGCGAGGGTCGTTTTAGAGAGACTGAGGTCGCAACTTGCAGCTGGACAGTGACAATTTTTGGTCAGCAAACTTGGGAATCCCATTCGGAAATCATATGATTTTTTTAATGAAATGATCCGGAAGATATATATACCTTTTCAATATGGGATTACTGATATACCATTCGCCATTCGCGCATGGTTTTCATGTAAGGTGAATGTCACCGTCACCATCTTTATGGGATCCTGGGGAATCCCATTCTGCATTCATTCTGTGATGATGACACAACCGTTGTGGTGGGAGTTTGGTCAGCGAAAAAAATGGGGTTAACCAGCAAAAAATGTCACTTACAAGCACTGATATTGGAGAGATTGAGAGAGAGATAGAAAAGACTGATGCCGGGTAGTTCTGAGATAATTCAGACATGATATCAGACATAATCCATCTATGAGGATATCATGGATCTAATGGGCTTAACAGAGTTATATAAATATAGTAGTGCCCCCAATCCTTTTGATGGTAGTTTAGCCAGCAAAGGTGGCTGCTGAATTTACAGACATGGTGATTTAGACAAGCGA